TGTCTTGATATGCATTTCTAGCTTACTTAGCAATAAATCTAATGGTTCAAAAAAAAACATRCAAATGTATGAACTTCCAGGCCCTAATCATGAATAACATGAATATTATTACATCAGGAATAAACCAAAATATACATTTTGTGAAATTTTTTATTTCACAAAAGAAAATTAATTAATTTAGAGTTTTTAATGCAAGTATTTTGATTAAATTTAGTGTTCTACAACACCCCCAAACAATATATATATATATATATACATATGATTCAGGATGCCTTCACATAAAGTTATTAATTATTTTAATATTAATAAAAAAACATTATGTAAATATATTATATATTTATATAGACAATTAATTGTAGAATATGTTTATTCAAATCAAAAATATTGTTAAAGATGTATTTCAGCATTTCATAATTCAATTGACATTAACACAGGCACAAATTGATCAAATATTAATTTTTTTTTCATTACTCGGTTTTAAGTTTAATTCATTGATTATAAAAGCCATTCATAATGTATTATGTATACGAATCACCATTTAATATATCAACATAATATGTAGGTAAATAGTTTTAATTACTTCATTGATGTCTTGTGGACACAAAAATCTCAGCTGTAAATTTGAAAGGTCGTACAAACCTATAGGTTTGATTTGTTGCAAYGCTGAAGTTCTCTCCAGATACCTATGACAAAAATAAAATATTTATTCAATAAATATTACTTTTTCTGATAGAGTTTTAAAAAAAAGTGTAAACTCACCAATTAAAAGTGTCCATTCAGAAGACAGGATCCATTCCGTGGAATGAACAAATTAWAATAAAATACTACCTTACTCAATTTTCAACATACAATATTGTAACTAACAATACTAACATAATTTATTATATATTTACAAGAAACAGTGAATAATTTTCATAAAAACAAAAATATTACGTTTGCAAGTCAATTATTATTGTTTACTATTTTGATATCAATTTATTATCTATGGTTATCACAAGATTTCAGATTTAGCATTGGTACTCAAAATGTCTTTTTATGTATTCTGTATTTCTGTCAGAACTATTTTAGTATGGTTGACGGTTCAATTACTGTATCCGGGTTTTATACATTTATCCAACATACATTTTATAAGCATTCATCTCAGTACAAATAATACGATGATAGATAATATTATGTTATTTAGTTATAAATCTAATTAAAAAATTTATAATAATATTTGACTAGTTTTCTACATTTTGAAACAAGGCACACAGAGAATGATACAATATAATTTATAATATTTTGGGCTATGGAAGCTTATACTATATCTATAGTATGTTAATATTTAACATGTTATAGTTTTACCTATTCTGTGCAGTGGTGCATTTAAGTGCGAGGAGGAGGTGAAAGGGGCAAATTCCCCAAATGTTTTGGGGTGGCAAAAGATTCTATATTTTTCACAATTTTTAATAATATATATATTTTTTTTTTTATGTAATGGGGGAGAGTGGATAAATGATTTTGTCCTGGGGCGCGTACACATTAAATACGCCACTGATTATTCTGTGCCCCGTGGGATATATTATATACAGCCATCATCCATCAGCCATCAGGTATAGACAGACGGTTTAGTTACGTCGTAAACACTATACTGTTACAGAATATAATTAAATTGACCTATAAGGCTATAACACATTAATACAGTAGGTAATAGGTAACAAAGATCAAGGATAAAATAGCAACTGTAAAAAATCCAAGTGGGTACCGATCTGCTGCTGTACAGTATGTCGGTATCTGATGTTTAGATACAATACCTATAGGTCGCGTTCTAACTGATGGGTTAGAATGTTAGATTTTAATTCAATGATATATAATCAAGACGGTCTGTCACCCTTTAATATTAATTATTAGTAATTTATTACCAAGTATAATATTTATGATATTTTTGTTGTAAAAATTATTTATTATAATGTTAGACATCATAAGTACAAAGTACCTACCTATAAAGTAGGTCGGTGTCTAATACATTATTCAATTAGGTTGAATTAATTTTTTGGCATAAAAATTGCATTTGAAAGTGTCGACATTGACGTCGTTGTCAGGCACGGATTCAGTAGGGAGCCGGGAGGGGTGCCCCTCCCCCGTAAGCTGTGCTTTGTTTAGGAAAAATGCCCAGTAAAAAGAATCAAAACTAATTTT